CCCCAAAACCCCAAAACCCCAAAACCCCATGCATTTAACAATAACTAAGTTTTCATTTATCTAGATAATTAAATTAATAGTCTTACAAGATATTCACATATTTAAGTTTAGTATTTGTCTATGCAAAGTGTTCAAAGCCTTCTCAAATTTTTACTATTTTACTGAACTTACATCATTGTACTCTTCAAATTTAGAATTATCCTATGGTCTCTCAATTTAAACTTTTCTATAAGCTACCTTATTCTAGCCATTCTCATTCTATTTAGAATTCTAAATATTTTTCAATGGTGTTTGATTATTTGATGATTCTCTCCTTTGACTCATTGAAGTTGTACTTCTACTCATATAAGACAGTCTTGGAGACATAGGTTTAGTTAATGGCTTAGTTAAATAACTTTAGATCGGCTGCTCAGGAACTATTAATATTAAAATTATCTAAATTTACTTTTATTGGAGTAAATAATTTTTGACTTTCTTTCATTTTCTTCCTTTGCCTTTTATATCCTTTTAACATATAAATCAATGGCTTTCATGTTTGATTCAAGTTAAGTTTTTGAATTGGCTTATAGACTATTCTTGTCAAAGTTAGTTATCTCAGGTTGAAAAGTTACGCCTTCCATTTCTGCTTTCTTTACTTCATCTTACTTTACTTAGATTTCTAAAAATTCATTATTTAATGCAATTTTTACTTTATTTTATTTCATTCTTCCACTTTAAGTTTCTCTCAAATATGTCATTAGCTCTTAATGGACTAATACCAGATTACTTTGTCAAATGGCTCGAAAAATCCTGTGAAACCTTTTTACTTACAGGTGTCTTAACCGTATTTGGCTTAAATGTGCAATCCTGAATCTCAATTGACATTCTATACTAAAGTAGTTCTTGCTTTTATTTATCAATCCTCTCCTAATAAATCTTATGGTTATCATGTAAATCCTCCCATCTTTTCCTTTTCTTTGGTTGAGGTAGCTATTAAGCACTTTTTGTTTCTAATATCGCATCTTAGATCTGTGATGAACTTCTTGATGTATTCTGATTGGGAAATGCTTATCTTGACTAGATTTTAATGTTTGTTTATGAGATAGATTTATTGTGATATCTGGCTGATTCAGCAAGTCTCTCAGTTAATGGAGTGAGAGAAGGTTTAAAAGTAAACTTTTTATCTCTATGAATCTATCGCCTATTCATGATTAAAATCAAATGTTACTTACATGACGGTTTTTAGCTCTCTTCTTGACATTGAAGGTGTTTTTTAATGTTTATTTATTTGGCTTAAATCATACTAAACAATGTTCTAGTTTAAGTATTCATTCTATAAATCAAATTTATTCAATTTAGTATTGCTCACAAGTTATGTAGTAGCCTTCACAGTCACATTAGGGACAACATTGCGTTTATTATGCTTTTGGGAGAGATATTTATTAAGATGTTCAGTTCTTTTAGACTAGTTATTTACTTAAAGTGACATTGAATTAAAATAGAAATAAACTTTAAGCCAATTAAAATTTATAATAAGCTAAGTTGACCAAAAGAATGAAGATAATTATTTTTAAAATAACAATTATATATTGAATTTAAGTAATTACAACTAAACTGAGACATTCTAATATCTCCTGCCTATTTCATTGACTTGCTCTTGATATTGACAAGTCATCTTAACTAAGGAAATCAAATTATGAGCAATATAAGAGGACATCAAGCAACAAGTCGTTTTAAAAGGTAAGAGAATCAGAATGGTCAGTTCAAGTTCGAATACTAAATATATCAAACTTAATAAGGAAGGAAAATGTCTACATCGTTAGTCTTTTTATTTGTGTGCGAAAGAAGGCCTTTCATAAATATCGCACTATTTGTCTACTATGGGTTCTGTACAAATCCCAGTAATGGTGGTGGATGCTGCTAGTATTAAGTGTTTGATGTAGTCCTACTAGTGTTTTAGCGGGGATGGTCGAAAGTCTGGAAAGCCATTATCTGTTGTTACTAGCTTTACTTTGGCTTAATTATGTCTAATGTAGAGCTTTACACAGCCAAAAAGGGATTGATTTCAGGCTCTTGTTATGAATGATTCTAAATATTCAAGCCTGCATTTCCATTTGCCCCTGAGTTTCTGTTATAAGTTGATCCGAAAAACTTATTGAAAATTCCTCCACTGCCAGTGTTCGACTGGTTTACATTTACTGTTGAATTACCCAAGTATGTGTTGATATTTGAACTACTACCTCCATAAGATGATTATCTTCGGTGAGCGACTTTCGGAGGTAAGAGAGATTTGCCATTATTACCTAAGTTGTTGCTGCTTTACCTACTTTATTGCTTGTTATTATTTGCTGAATTGACGATGCTATGATTATCAGCTGTTATAGGCTTGATGTTACTTGAATTATTGGATTAAACGCTATCTTAAATCTGCTGAGGAGTAAGCACTTGATTATTAGGGACCAAATAGTTCTTAGGTTTTTAAGGTGTAGAAGTCTTGTTGCCAAGCTACTATTGCATTTTACCGGCTTATTAGACGATCTGCTATGGGTACTGCAATTGCTGCTAATTAATATAGTTGTGGAATCTAGATATCAGAGCATTGTGATTCACTAGGGTCTTCCTCTCTTCTTTATTAATCTACTAGCTATTCTATGATGATGTTTTACTAAACATGATATTGCCCTTCTGATCCTAGCTCTGATCAGAATATGGTAGAGATTTATTCACAGCTTGTTTATTTTATTGCTGGATTAATGGAGTTCCCCCGCTATTAAATGATTTTAGAGAACTCTCTCTACTCGAATTTATGTTTTAGTTTTGATTACTAAAGCTCTGAATAAAGCTTTTTCTAGAGAAGTTATCATCAAAGTTACTGTGAGTCATTAAGGCACTGCTATTTACTCCTATTGTTTAGTTACCAACCTAGCTAATAACATCATTATTAGGTCCCTCGGTTCCCATTACCTCTTCACTTTCAATTGTATGTAAATAGCCACCACCTGCACCAGCCAATGTATTTTTATAGTTCAATATCTATTTGAACCAAGCATTTTAGTCTCTACGATTGAACTAATTTTATCCAATAAAAAAGGATGAAAGCTTATTAGTGAGCAAACTTGTGTCAGCTGTACTAATAGCAGGTGTATTACCTTGATGATCTATCATAGGTAATGCATTGAAATTATAAGTTGCTTCAAATTAATTTTAGTTGCTCCCATATTTAAACATATTTTTGTAATTCTTCATGTTTCTAGGCTAGAAATTCTTCTTTAAAGTTTTAGCAGTATCAGCATTTAAAGGAGGGCCATTTGTTGGAGGCTTCTGAGACTTTGTAAAAGATCTTTTTGTTATTGTGTAGTTAACAGTTGGTCTCTCCTCCAGGATTTTACTATCAAAGATGTTTTCGCCTTCATTTGTTTAGTTTAGAGCATTTTTAGATCCACTTTATTTTTTTCTTCCAAACTTTATTCTTCTCTGATGATTTGAAAGATTCTTATACTCTTGAATCTATTTCTGATTAGAGGTGGTATTGTGATAATGCAATTCCTCGTCATCTTTGTGCCTCGTATTTATCGAATTCATAGTTTGTATTTTTGAGAAGGCGTGAGTACCTAATTTGAAAGATTCATCATTCATTTATCTTTCGCTAAGATCTACAGAATCATATTCTGAATGGAACGAGGACATTTCCAGCAATAGCTCCTCAGATTAGTTTACTTTCTTCAGCATTGAATTAAAAAGCTCATTTGCTCTCTCTATACTATCAGAATCATCATCATCCTCGTCTTAGTCTTCATCAGTTTTGCATAGCTTGTATATTTCCTTCAGAGTTTATGCGGCTGAATTTGGTGAAGGAGAATTTTTATTCATTAACTATAAAAGTCTGTTCTGATTAATTATTTGATATTGCAAGTTATGTTAATGCCTTATCTCGATGTATTCTTCATCTACTGTAAATAGATTTTATGAGAAATCGGAAGTGTCAAATGATAAATTTTGCAGCGCAAAAGAAGCTTTCATAGTCATAAATAAGGGAACTTTTGCTTTTAAGGGAAATGAACCTTTTGGTAATTAGTACTTTATCAAATGATCTTTGAATTTAGCAATTTATTTAGAGCTGAATGATAAAACTTGCAATAGAGGAAGAAAGGAGTCCAGACTTAACGGATGCTATTTACAAAGCCAAATACTTGCATTTATTGTTTTCTTTGTTATTTTCTTATCAGTTGTGTAGCCTTGAACAGTGTTGCTAGTTATTATATTTACATTGTGATCCTTACTACCTTAGGTGAGAATTTAAGGCTAACTAGCATGATCACTTTCAGTTTCCACTCTTACATAGTGAGGATTAGGGGCGGTTGAGCTTAAAGGATTCCAGTTTATTATATTTACTTATATTTAGCTGGGATCTTAATTGACAGTCTTATCATGCCTCAGCAAAGACTCTTACACTTTATCTAGTTGAGTCTGACTTGGTTGATTAGATATATCAAAAGAATTTCTTTATCTATATTCTTCGTAACTTTTATATTTTTATATTGAGAACACATCCTGCATATTTATTCTAAATTTAGTCATGGTGAACTAAGTTTTCAAATTGTGCTTTTCTGCTTTAAAACCCTCAATCAACTTTTACCTAATTTCTCCTTTCTTGTCAATCTCAGCTTCTAGCTTAAACTTATCAGCTTTGTACAGCTTCTAGTATTACTAATCATTTAAAATGTCCTCTAAATCCTTCTCAACCTTTGCATAGGCTAGATCATTGAATATATTTGATACTGATTTTGACTCATGGTCAACAACATACAGTTCTCCCTCATTTTCTTGGCCCCTGCCTTTAAATAAAACACTTAAATTCCCGCGCACACACTTTAACTTTCTGAACCCGACTAAAGTCATGTCAAGTCTTATTTTAGAACCTTATTTATAGATTTTATAGGTGTCGCTGGGAGCAAAGTTCCTAACGAAGGGAATAAAATTAGATTTGCAGCTAAATTAAATATCGATTTTGAAATCAGGTAGGCACTCTAGAGAGCTAAAAATAGCCTATAGTTCATAAAAGTGTTTAATTTACTTCTTTATGTAGATCTAAATAATGCTGTTTTATTTTTTAATTTGCTTCTAGTAGAATTTTAATTATCTCTTTGTGCTTCATCGCACTTGCAATATCTAGGGCACAGGGAACTATAAATAATAAATAGCGCATAATTTACAATTATTGAAACTTTTTAACTTAGGACAAGTGAATACATCTGTTAGTACCTTGACTGCATCTACATTTCCAAGTTTAACTGCTAATATCAAAGGTGTGTTTCCTCCTCCATCAATTTCATTTTTCTCAGCAAAAAATGAGCCATCATGTTGGCATTTAATCAATCTTGAAATCAATGGTAAGTTATTCTCAAATACTGCTCGATGTAGCTAATATTCTTTTCTGGCCTAGTCATAGATGCCTCTACCTCTAGTATATAATTCCATTTTTAAGAAGAAGTAATGGTTCATGTTGGCAACTGAGATTATATTGGTATCCTCACGAAAAATTTGCGATGCTTCCCAAATTTCTTGAAACATCTATCTTTACATTAAACTTAAGGGGTGAAATACTTACTTTTCTAGCTGCAGTTATTTAGAAAATTTCAGCTCCAAAAATTTTATAGCATATAGAGAATAATTCTTATTCAGATGAAAAGCATAATCTCAAGGTTTTACTTTTGAATTTATTTTGGTATTGAATTAAGTGTTCGATCATCATATGAATCGATGTATCCACATCAGTTCTAATCTTCGATTTGTAGACTTGAGTTATAACTTTTTAGTTTTCTATCAGATATATTTTTTTCAAGCTACGATTTAATTATAATATTTCCTCAAGACTATAATTTGGAGAAAATTCCTTGCATAAAGAATCTAACAAATTGCTAATCTCCATATCGTTTTCTAGCAGTTACTCAATAATTATTTAGTTTGTTAATACAATGCTTTTACCCTCTACTTTCTGGCCTGTGTTTATTTAGTTTTATAATTAATGTTATTATTGCTGTTGCACAGTATTATTTGTTGAGTATTGCTCATCAATATTTGTGTCACCCTTATCTAGCTTTGAGAAAACCTCTTAGTACTGTAGAGTATGACGAAGCATATTCAATAAATCTTGAACATCTATCCAGTATTTGTATTGTTTGGGAGGAGCTGAGTTTCTATTGCTATAATTTGATTTATTAAATTCAATTTTCTGCGAATTATCACTTTAAGTTTTCTGCTTATTTAGGGCTTGTTATTTCACTTCCTCTTTTAATCATAACGTAAAAGTCTCTGATTATGATTTAATAGAATTTTCAGCAGTTTTTACTGAGGAAGGCCTTTGTTAAACCTCAGTAATTAATGATGATTGAATCTTCTGATTTTTTTGCGAATCATGTGTTTACTTTTAAGGGTTCATCATCTTTAATATATATTCTTTCTTTTTCTTATATTTAAATTATTTTAATGAGAAAAATATATTATAATCAAATAAATTTAACAAGACTCAAGAAAAAGACTGGTAGCCTTTAAGTATTTAAAAATTAAACGAATCTAATCTTATTCAGGTTAACTCTAAAGACTAAAAATGTATGGTACTCATTGGAGTTGAAGATGTTCAGAACATTTCCTCAAGATTATCTTCGAGGGATCTCTTTCTTTGACCTGTAAATAGACCCTCTTGGATTTCAGTCCATTCATCTTCCTCAGCTTTGTAGCACTGCAAAACCTTCTTATCCATGTTAGGGTTCAGTTCACTGATAGTATGAGGTTGCTGTTACTATTGCGAATCAGCTGATAGGAAAGAAAATCCTGATGATTCTTTGCTTATTCCAAAGCCTAATGCATATATCTTTCCTTGTTGAGCACAAACTGAGCCTCCATTCACGCAGTAAAATGGCTTGATAAGATCATTACCTCTCTTAAGTTCACCATTAGTTACATTGAATTGAATGTTTTAGTTGCTAACTGTTACTCTTTATCCATTTTCAAGAGCTTAATTTTCTTCTTCATGTTCAATAGGTGGAATGATACCTCCAAAAATCATAATTTTCTTTCCACTTATTTAGACAGTACCTGGATGCAATATTCTCAATTTATTGCTCTCTGAAATGTAATTGATTACTCTCCAGTTGCTTCTGTCAATATCATAGCATTCTACTTCACTCACAAAATCATAGGCTAAGTTGTTTGCCATACTTTAACCTGGTCTCAAAATTTTGCCTCCAAAAATGAATATGTATTTATCGTTGAATGGGCAAACTCCAAATGCTTATCTTGAATGTTTAAAAGGGGGAAGGACTTGCCATTTATCTTCTTTGATATTGTATACTTCGCATGAATTAATACTTTGAACAGTTGTTTTTTAGTTTGGATCAGTATAAGCCATACCTCCAAAACAATAGATTTGTCCTTTAAAATTCAATAATGCATGGTCTGCTCTACCTTAACTCATGCTAGTTAGAGGAACTAAAATTTATCTATGTTCATCAAGAATGAAATTATTTTAAGAAAAAAGTCTCATGTTTTGGAAATAGCCTCCGAAATAATAGAGTTGTCCCTCTGGTGTCACAATATGTCTACCTTTTTCTGGGAAGACAAATGTGTTTGCAATGAGTTAACATTCAGAGTTAAAGTGCAAGATTTTGTAGGTGTTGATGAATTTAGTTTTTTATTAGAGGAAATGAAGTCTTGGAAGCACTTCTTGATCGAACCAATTTTATATCTGGAAATCTCCTGAGAAATTTTTTTGCACAAAAATTTTGAAATTCTCCTCTAATTATTCCTTATTTCTTGTCTGAGCAAATGAGAAGTCTTCATAGTTGGTATATACACAATAATTCTTGGCTATAATGTTATCAAAGTCTTCAATCATAGTGCTAACACCCTCTATTTTATAGCTATCTACCTTAGCATGACTCTCTTAAATGTCCTCATCTTTATCCTCTTCTTCAACATAGTTTGGTTTCTGCTATTCTTGCTCTTTTTAGACAATCTTTTGTGATTCTTTATCTTTAACTTCAATTACTTTCATTTCTGACTCAAGTACATTACCAAGTTTGTCGCCAACATCATAGAATGATTTCATTAGTTTTTCTAGTGTGATCTTTTCAAGTTAAACTCTATCTCTGTTTTGATTCAATTACTTTAGCAAGAAAGTCATATAATCAAGTTACTTTTCTTGAGTGATTTCCTTCATCTTTCCGAAAACTGGATCATATTTTTCAGCCAGAGTCTTCTCATAGATGATTAATTATTCATGACTTAAAATTAGATGATTAGCCTTTTCTCGAATTTTATCTGAAAGTGATTATAGTAGGTTTGAGAGTTTAGATTAAAGCACTAAGACTTATTGTTGCTTGTTAATTGGTTAACCATCTTATATCTATCGGGAATTCTGTTGGTGTTATTAGCTACCTAATTGATGCTACTCTAAGTTTTGTTGATTTAATAAGTTTTGATCACTTTAAGAGGTTTACTAATCAGTCTTGGCTTTTAAATCTAACTCAATATAGCATTTTTCACAATACTTAGAGTCGTCATCTTCAAATATGATAATTTAGTTTGGATGTTTGTCACATTGAGCTGTAAGACTAGCCTTGTAACCAAACTTTTTTGATAAAGTTTGATGAGCTTGCTCCTTTTGCTTTTGCATTTATTACTGTTGCTGCATATTAAAGATCATTTGATTTTGTTGGTGATACTGTTGTATTTGCCTGTACTACTGGGCTTGCATAGCTTACATGTTTTGCATATGCATTTATGGAATTGGTGGCATATAACCGGGAATAATTTGCTGCATCGGCTATCTAATATTTTGCGGACCTTACATATTTTAAATTTATTGTTTTAAATATTAATAAATTCTGCTTAAGATTCATTTCATACCTTATTTGATGAACTAATTTGAATGTAGGGGTTTTGGGGTTTTGGGGTTTTGGGG